GTCAAATGCGAGCTCAATGGGTCCGCAGCTGCCTTAGCGGGCCACTTTCTCCTTCCAAAAGGGTACAGGAACTGAGCTGGTCTTCCCGACTCCACGGCCTGCAAAACGCCTAATCTTGGGTCAAACGCGCTACTTGTCTGCGTAACTTCACTTCTGGTTGTTCTCTACCTCTCACTGCGCGTCCATAGCGGGATTTTTATAATAACGCGAAAGCTGAACAGGATAGCGCAGGCGGAGTTGTGAGACAGCATCCGAGAATCGCTGCCCTCCAGAACCCCTACCATGCACTTCTGAGCGGAGAAAGCGGCACGGTACTGCTGCTATGGACCCATTCGCCTCGCACATGATGGCAGAGACGGTCCTCAGAGGTGCAGCGACAGTTTGTCTTTAGATTAGCTGGGGTCTGATGAGGAGGTTGCCGATGTCCCGCATGACATCACTCAGAAACCCGCTTTCACCTGCCTTGCAACATGGTTGGCCCACATTACATCCTACGTTCGTACTAACGGATACGATACGGATACGTTCCTGGGGTCCGGTGTTCCCAGGAAGGTCTCTCAGCTATGAGACCCTGATAGAATAACTTCAATGGCATAGTAAGTGATCACAAAGAAATCAATCAGAAAACTTATTGCTGAGTGCTGGAGGACAATCAGACAGTTTTTCAGCTAGAAGCGATGTTTGTGGGCACTGACGCGTGTCCGATTGACTTCCTTCCCGAAATGCAATTTTGTGCAGCACAAGGAATGGATCATCGAAAGGTTTGTGAGCAGGGGCATGAGACATTGTTGATTTTCAGTTTTCTTCTATACGCAGTCCATATAACAGAGGATGTTTTCCCTAAAGAGGATGTTTTCACGTTCACAGTCAAAGTTGTGAGCGCGGCATTTACCGCGTATCAGTGGAGTGTTGTTGGTATAGAGTTTATCGTGAGCAGAGCACGTCGTACGTTGGGGGTTCCCGGCGGAGGACCGTATTCGGTTGCTAGGTGGAGGAGGTCGTGATTGCTTTTGACAGGAAAAAGTGATAGGATGTTGGGGAAAGTCTAGAACACTAGGGAACGTGTAGGAAGGATGTTGAAGGAGACCTATCAGAGCAGGAAACTCAGGGGGTCGTGCTGTCCGACGAATTTCCTAGGACGTACCCGAGATGGAAGATGGAGAGGCCGCATTATTGCCTGCGCTCTCTTATACGCATGTTCTCTACGAATCCGCCGTCATGGTCAGTACTAACACTCCGCATGTACGCTCCCACCCTAACGCTCTCAACCGAACGCGAGAGCACGGCTCTCTGGACGCTGTGTTGTAGACGATATGCATTCATTCGACGCTGTCGGTTTTTTAGACTCACTCGTTTTTCAAAGAGGGTCTTTCAAGCCACTGGATGCCAGCGAGACACGTTGGATTGATGTCTTTTATGAAAAAAAATCATGGCACGAACTAAATTGCAGTTGCATTCAGTGTTGTTCCGCTGGTGGTGTAGGCGACTCAGCGGCAGGCGATAAGTGTCTGACATTCTGCGATCAAAGGCCGGACCATTACACCCCGATCGACTACAGTTATGCCCCATGCTACGACAGGTGAGAAATTGCTTTCCATTTGCCTTTCAGTGATTTTCGCTATATAATCTCACACGATATTAGATAGTTGTGGTAAGAGGAGGCGGGAGGGGGGGGGGGGGGCAAATTCGGCTACGAACCGGTGCAAAACCTCTTCTCATCCAGTTCAGACTCTCTAGCAAGCACGTTCTCAAGTTCTGCACCACTTCAAAATGAAATTTTGAATTTTACACCAAACGCCGTGATATATACGTATCTTGAATTGTATTTCCAGTACTAGTAATGTATTCATTACTATTAGCGACACAATGAAAGACAGGTAACTGAAATCCAAGAACACGAAAAAAGCCCTTGATAACTAAACGTGAAAAGTTAAGAACACAGTATCAGGTTCCGCGATCACAGGAATAGGGCGGAGGAAAAGGCCGATATTCGAGATTTTCTTATTGATGTGCCTCCCTCTAATACCGTAGCCGGAAAGATATGAGACATAAGATACCTTGGATGAGATGAGTCCCCTCCCAACCGATTATCGAGGAATGTGTCTCCGAAAACACAACTTGCGATTACGAAACCATGGTAAAGGGTTCAGAAACAGTACGCGCCAGCTGAGCTAACAGAGAAGAAAGGAGCAAAGGAAACGGCAGTGATATACTAAGCGTGCAAAAGAGAAACAGATAGCGAAATGGCGAGAAAGCGCACATACGAATGAGACGGCGTCAGAGTACATCCATGATAAAATGGAATGAAAAGGGTGGAGACTGTACTCCGTGGGCGGAGTCCAACCTCCACGGCACGCCTATGGCAGTCTTGCCACCTAGTTTCGAGATGCACAAACGGTTCAACATATGCGACTGCTACTCGGCTTAGTTTGTGCAAGGAAGTTATCCTACGTGTGAAGTGGTCATCTTTCGAAGGAACAT